ATAAGTATAGCTATAATATAACAGTAGGGATCGGTATTAAAGGCGATGATTTTAGAGAGAGAGAGGAGACGGAGAGAGAGAGAGAGATCATACCTTTTCGACATTGATGGCCTTGTGAAGTATATTCAATATACGCTGTTTCTCATAGTAGGGCAGCTCGAACTGGCCCTTGTCGAGTCTGTCCATGGTCACATTAGTCAAAATGCACTCAAAGTCGGTCACATCGTAGAAGTCCGGAGTGTAAACCAATGGCCGCTGTTTTTGGCTATCGTTGTTGAACCACAAGATCTTAAACTTGCGGCTCTGCTTAAACACATTCTGTTTGGTCCGACATATATAGTAGCCGTTGGAGTCGTTCCTAACGGCCAGGAATTCGTTCTTATGATAGATAATCACTTTGTCCTCCACTGCTTCGTCCGGTTTCGTACGTTTGGCGGCCGCTGTAGACACCGACGCCCTCAACAGCAGCGGCAACGCCTGCAACGGTTCCGGCGACTGAAACGGCTGGTACTGTAGCCGCACCCGTTTGCTGGCCCTCTGTTGGCTATTCTCTGCTGTTCCGGCGGTGGCGGCCGGTGTGGCAGCGGGTGTGGCCGCCGGTAACGTACTGGAGGCCGAGCTGTTTCGCTCCGGTTTGGTGGGCGTCCGCCGAGTATCTGCCGGCCGATTGGGTTTGGTTTCGACGGCTGAGGCGGTGGCGGCTGCCGTCGCGCCAGTGGCCGGCAGTTTACGTTTGGCCCCTCTTTGCGGCGGTTTAGCCGCCGGTTTGGCCGCAGAATTTTTAAGCGCATCTGAAATAATAATTAATATATAAAGTGAATTGAATAATAGTATAACAAAAGTAATCATGGGCACAAAACAATTAAATGCTATTAAAATAAACGCCATAATCAGATAAACCCAATAAAAAGTAATCACGGTTAATTAATTCTAGCTCATAACCACAGCCAAGTTTTTATCATCATATATCGCGGCGAATACTAATAGACATTTACAAACAACACAAAATGTGGTAAATTACCTGCGCTTGACTTCTGGGCGGCCAAAAAGTTGGCCATTAGTACAGGCGTTGGCGAACTCTTCGTGGCCCGAACGAGGTTCGCCGCCGCCCGACCGTTGGCCGTAGTCTTTGTGGCCACAGCTGTCGCCGCCGTTGTCAACGATTTGGCCGCCGATGCGGTGCCGCTATTATTGGTCGAATGTCTGGTCACTCGACGACTGTTGTCAGCGGCGGCGCTATTATTTGCCGGCGACTTCTTGTTGGCGATCGTAAACGCGATTAGCGCTGACTTCTCGTCCCCTTTGGCCGACTTTTGCTGCGTTAATACTAGCGGTGGTACCGCCTGTGCGGTGGCGGCCGCAGCGGTCGCCGGTGCAGAGACTTGTGACGGAAGAGCCACTGATGGCTGCGTAATAGGAGTCGTTGCCGGCGGAACTGACTCCTGTTTAACAGCCGTAGCGCTGGGCAGCGATGCCGTAGTGGCCGGCGCTGAGGCTACAGGTGCTGAACCAGCGGGCAATGGTTGCTGAGCGGCTACTGGCGCTGATTTGGTGGCAATTTTGGTCTCCTTTACGGATAAAAATTGAAAATTAAAATAAAATTAGTAAATATAATGATCAGAATATCGCAAAATAACTAACGAGTGCTACTGTAGCCGGTGCTACGGCCTGTTTAGCAGCCGTAGCGCTGGGCTGCGACGCCGTAGTGGGCGGCGCTGAGGCTACCGGTGCTGAAGCGGCGGGCAATGGTTGCTGAGCGACCACTGGCGCTGATTTGGTGGCAATTTTGGGCTCCTTTAGAGGCAAAAAACATTAGTAAATGTAATAATACTCATAATATACCAAAATAACAAACCGGCGCTACTGTGGTATTGCTGACCGGTGCTGGTGTAGTGACCGGTGCTGGTGTAGTGACCGGTGCTGGTGTTGTGACCGGTGCCGACGTGGTATCAATACGGGACGCAACCGGCGCTACTGTAGCGTCAATACCGGTGGCGACCGGTGCTACTGAGACATGTGCACCAGTAGTAACCGGTGCCACTGTCGCGTCACTGGCGGCAGTGGTGGCATCAATGCCTGTCGCCACCGGTGTTGGTGTGGTATCGATGCCGGCTGTGGCCAGCGCTATGGCAATAGCGTTGGGCTGCGATACGATAGGGGCCGGCGCTGGGGCTACCAGTGCCGAGACTACGGGTGCTGAGACTACCGGCGTTGAGGCTATCGGTGCCGTAACAGTGGGCACCGATTGCTGAGCGACGGCCGCTACTGGCGCTGATTTGATGGCAACTTTAATGTCCTTTACGGGGGGAGGGGGTGAGAGGGGGCAAAAAAATGACAAATAAAATAATAAATGACTGAATATAACGATACAATATATGCCTAAAATAAACACAAACCTGGGCTACCGTAGTGTCGATACCGGTCGCTGCCACAGGTAGTGCCACAGGTGTGGTGACCGCCGGCGCTGTAGTAGTAGTGGTGTGACTGCCGGGTGCGGCACCGGTGCCGCCGCTGGCCGTCGATTCACTGGCCGTTAATAATAATATGCCATTCGTTTCGACCGACTCTTGCCTTTCCATTGGATCTAAATGTGTGTCATATATAACGCGGGCATAAAATGATGGCTAATATTATTATTATTAATGATCTATTATTAATTGATTTACTAATAATAATATTTGTGGTCACTCTATAAAAGCGGCCGCAAATTGAACTGTATTTATATTGCAAACAAATAGTATTGAGTCAATACATACACAACACACACACACTATGTTTTGTATGTGTGTTGTATTGTGTGTTGCATTGAAATACACTGTAATACTACACTCTCTCTCACTCTCCCTGTGCTGTACTGTACTGTCTGTGACTGTCAGCCATTTTATGGGCGGTACGTCACGTGTGCGTAAAGTGAGTGCAAAAACATTTGGCCATAACTACAGGGCTGTTGTAGTGCAGCCAGACGTGAGTGGTATGCAGATTGAAATGCATTGTCAACGCTATAGAGTAGTGTTGCGTAACGTCCAAAAGGTTGCGATAGTTGTACGGTATGTGTAGTGTTTAGTACGAGTACACAAAGTGTGAGCAGCACTGCTGAGCACACTTTTTTGAGCGCAAGTTTACCCCCATTGGTACTCATATTAATATAGCGTAATGTACTGGACTATTGATATA